ATAAGCTGGGGAGAAAAGGCCAGCAGTTTCCCTCCCCTTAAGGTCCCAGGACTTGTGCTCCCTGACAGCACATGGGGGTCCGTGGACACACGCCCGGTGCGAAGTCTGCCACATAGGCCCCCACTCTCTGTAGGAATTTAAAATCCTTGCAGCAACTGTGGGAGCACCAGAGAAATAAAGCATCTGGGTACAATTACTGTAGCGTGGTTGAGTTTCTTTCCTGTTTTTTAAGATAACGAGAAAAGAGCTCTAATCCGTGTTCTTAAAATTATGTGGCAATTCTGACAGAGTTCTGGGTTCTTAAAAATGGAGTTTCCGTCTCTCTCTCCTCCACAACCCGGCCCCTTCCTCTGCTTTGCCCTCCTTCCTCTGTCACGATCGTAGGAAAACCCAAATACTTTATTGCCGCCAAGTGAGCTGAGAGTGGTGTATTCTGTTCTTAAGTACGGGTCACACGGGAGCCCTCTGTTTTGGAAGTGACGGAGGACGAGTTTCTTTGGGGATCCATGTGTTTTGTGATCCACTCTGGTGAGCGCGAGGCCGTGCGCACACCCGGATTGGAGTCTGCTGTCTTCTTAGTCGGGGAGGGAGGGATTTCTAGTGAGTTCTTTTTCCCCCGTGCAGAGGTTGAATTCAGGACCTTGTCAGTGCGTTGATACCACAGAGATGGCAGCACTGGAGGGGGGGTAGAGAGGGTCCGGATGCTCTTTAGGGCTATCTGGGCTCTCCTGATCTTGTACTGATGTCTCTTAGACTAAAAGAACTTTCCAGCCACCCACAGGACGGTCCCAGGTCTTTTAAGGAGGTTCAGCAAAGTCTAGAGCGCCTGCCACGCTCCACTGCCCCCCCGCCACTGAGGGGCCGCACGCAGAGAAGACCGATCCGATCCTTGCCCTCATGGAGTTTACAGTCTGGTTGCACAGGACAGGCATCCAGCGTGCAAACACACCGGCGCCGCGTGGTTAGAAGTCACCATCAAATCGCTGTTGCACCATACGCTAGCCAATTTGGACGTAAATTAAAAAAAATAAAATTGAAAAAAGGAAAAGTCACCACAAACCCTGCAGGAGAGTTGCGGCAGCTCTGTTTTCGTTGGCAGTTGGGTCTTTGGAGTAGGACTACCATCTCCCCAAATCGCAGCGCTCTGGAGTCTTCAGAGAACGCAAGAACTTGGTGCCGCTGGCCAAGTCTGACCCGTGTGCTTCTTAGGTAGAGACCCCACGTCAGTGGAGGCGGTGACGTGACTGTGGTCACCTGCCGGCCGGGGGGCTGAGCCAGCAGCGGTTCTCGCCTCTCCACTCCTGTTCCCTGTCCAGGGCTGAGAGCGCTTACCTGCCCTGGGCTTCTGAAGCCAGGAAGGGACCCTGGAGACTTTCCTCTCGTTCGTTCATCCTGCTGTGAGGCGGTAGCCCTGTCCAGGCCCCCCGGAGAGCTGGGTACTTGGGACGGTTTTCAAGACTCGGGTGATTCCATAACATCCATGGGTCCGCTCGGACCAGCGGGCAGCACTTTCTTCGTTCTGACTTAAGAGCCCAGTCTCTTCTTGCTCTGCCGTTAGTGGCGATGCCAACACAGCCATCCTCTGCCTCCGATCGACTTGCCTTATCAGTTAGGAGACATTGTTACTGAATCCTCCTCATCCCGTCTCTTCCCCAGGAAAAGTCATCTGCCTCTCCTCTGCTCCCACCGCTTCTCTCTCTCCAGCCCTGGTGTCTGGAAATCCCATATTGACGCAGGACCAGCTCTGAGGCCGGGAGGACCTTCCCTTCGTATTTAGTTAGCCTGGCATATCCTGGGGGGATATCCTGAGACTCCTTGCCCTCTACAGATACAAGGACAGGGCCAGTGTCCCAGTGCCCGTTCAGTGGACCATCCCTTGGTCCAAGGTATTCAGCAGATTCAAGGGTGACATTCCTCATGTGTGCTTTCTGGTTCATTCTGCACCCACCTGCCATTTCTAAGATGGTCCCTGCTGATGTTGAGCACCTGTGGGAGTCTGGATGTGGGCTCCCTGTGTGGCCAGGTCTCCAGCCAGGTGGCCTCCGACCCGGCTTTTGGCCCCCACCTGGGGCTCCGCGCCTCCTGCCACGGTCGTGAGGCTGCATGACGCCGGGGCCGCGGACGTTCCTTGAGCACCTACTGTGTGCTGGGCACACGGCCGCGCCAAAAACAAGGGCCCGCCTGGACTAACCGTGCCGTCTGTGGAGATGCTTGGTTTTTAGTCACATTTCTAAACTGAGGGGCTTGGCCTAGGTGCTCTCTGCTAGAGGTTCGTTCTGGCTCTAACGTGTTAGGACTCTGGATGTCACTTTTCTTCTTTCTTTCTTTCTTTTTTAAATGTTTATTTATTACTGAGAGACAGAGAGAGACCAAGCATGAGCAGGGGAGGGGCAGAGAGAGAGCGAGACACAGAATCAGAAGCCGGCTCCAGGCTCCGAGCTGTCGGCACAGAGCCCGACGCGGGGCTCGAACTCACCCACTGCGAGATCACGACCTGAGCCGAAGTCGGACGCTTAACTGACTGAGCCCCCCAGGCGCCCCTGGATGTAACTTTTCTTGTTCGTGGTATCACTCGAGCTGGAGTGCAGGCCTTAACGACAGGGCCCTGACCCTTCCACGTCTTCCCCATCCCAGCTGTCCCCGTTGACTCCCTCACACCAAACTGTGGCCACAACTCCCTGCCCACACCCCGACCCTCCTTCGGTCCATCGGTCCAGCCTGAGGGCCCGGCCTGGGTCACTCCTGCTGCTAGAACTTTTTGAACTGTTGAGGCCGGTCTTTGTATTGGGAGGCAGGAAGGGTTTGGGTGAGAGCCAAACAGATCTGTGTCATGCAGGCGAGTCCCAGCTCTGACCTGGGGACAGGCTGCTGTCCTGCAGAGCCACCACCCGTGTGCCCAGAACGCCTCCTCCCCCCAGGTGGCTGCAAGCATGGGCTGGGGCTGAAAGGATGTGTGTGAAGGTGTGCCCCTCTTTGTGGGCCGGTGATGACGCAGTCTGCCTCCCCAGTGGCAGCGCCCCCTGTTGCGAACAGGCCCTGTTTGTGCCAGGAGACCAGAGACCCGGGCTGGGTCAGTCCAGAGCTCAGCACAGTGCTGCACACGTACTGGTGAATAGGACTGCCGCGATCACGCGTGGAGACTGCTTTGACCTTTCACGAGTCCCTTTCATGTGCCACCCCCAAGGCCATCTTTAGAGACCTGTGCAATGGCCTGCTGGAATAGGTCCTCTCTTCTGGGCCTTCCGCTTCTCCCCCAGCTGAGTTCTTTGCTGTTGGCTTAGACTGGGTGGGCCCAGTCGAGTGTGCTGGGCTCTTTGTCATTGAGGCCTCTTGCAGCTTCAGGCTTGACAGGCTCCCCTTCCTGCAGCTCACGGACCACAGTGGCCCCTTCCTCACCCCCCCCCACCCTCCCCACTATGTCCCTTGCTGGTGACACAAGAGGAATGCAGCCCAGCAGGGGACAGGGACACTGGTTGTTCTGGGAGGAGATCAAGAGAGCAGAACTTGGAGGCTGAGGCCACCGAAACAAAGGGCAGGAGACACTGGAGGAGGGGCCTGGACCTTCCTTTGAACCAGCGGCGCTGCTCATTTTAATCCTGCGGGGCTTGGTCTTAGCCTTAGCCTAGCTGCCCAGGTGGGGGAGGGCACGGCAGAGGCCCAGCTCCGGGTGGGGTGGCAGCCTTGAGTGTCTCGGTCCCATCTGACCAGTGTACTGGACCCAGGTTGAGATGAGAAGGTTACGCCAGGCCTTTGGTTGCTCGAAACCTGGAACTACGCCAACAGACCCCCAGACAGGGAGTTGGGATGCGAAAGACCTCTCGGGGGCTCTGGAACTGTGTTCCTCCAGTGTAGGCTTGGGTGTGGTGGTGGGGAGGGAGAAGACCCTTCACCCGTATGGACTAATTCTCCTCTTTCACTCAGTAGCCCCCCCTTTTCCTTCCTCTATCTGAGTGTGTATTTAGCACTTGGTAGGGGCCCCTGGGCTGCTTATGGCTTCCCGTCACCCCTGACAGACTTGCCCTTGACAGCACAGGATCCCGGCCTGCTTTCTCCCCAGGGCGAGCCAGTGGCCCCTGCCGTCTGCCCGGATGAGCACCTGGCCCTGGGCAGCAGGTTGGCCTGAGCACATGGCGGGATCACGCACTCTCGGGTCCCCGGATTGCCTGGTTACCTGGGTGCCTGGTGCGAAGCCGTGACGCACTGCGGTTGTACTTTCCCCGCAGGTCCTTCAAGAGGAGCGACCCTGTTAATCCATACCACGTAGGTTCTGGCTATGTCTTCGCGCCGGCTACCAGCGCCAATGATAGCGAGATATCCAGCGATGCACTGACTGATGATTCCATGTCCATGACGGACAGTAGTGTGTAAGTATCCTGCTATCCCCATCATGTACGCGGTTGGCAGTGACTCACCAGGCCAGCTGGGCAGAGTCCTCAGCCAGCCATCCTCAGCTGGCTTTGCAAACTCCGTGTGTGTGTGTGTGTGTGTGTGTGTGTGTGTGTGTGTGTGTACCTTTGCTTGGCGGGAGGGGAGTGTGCCAGTGCTGGTTTAGGGGGGTGATGTGGTAGCCTGGGTGGAGTCAAGCTTAGAGCCTTGAAAGGAAAGTTGACTGGTAGAAAACGAAAGTAAGGTAGAAGGTTAAGATGCTTCTCCAGAGGTTTCTTGAGTTGAGAGACCCATCTTCTGGTTGCCATTCCGCCTTTCTTCCCTGGGTAGAAGTGCTTGGCTGGTCTCGAAACCCAGGTAATCCAATCTGCGGAACCAGCAGGCGGGAGATGGGGTGGCGTGAGAAAGCTTTGTGTGCAGGTGTGCATTGTTCCTGAAGGAAAAGGCATTGAAGGTGGGGGTCAGACGCCCAGCGCTCTCTGAAGGCCCACTGGGTGTAATGTTGCCTCACAGGTGTGTTCAAATGGACACGATTCAGTTCACTGAGTGTTGGTGGGGTGCCTGCTACGCGTCAGGTTCTTCCCCTAAGTAGGGCTTCTCTCCGGAGTCTGATCTTGGATCTTTTGCAGATGGCTGCACTTGGCATACTAAGAGTTTGTTCCTTTAAAAAAAAAAAAAAAAAAAAAAAAAAAAAAAAAAAAAAAAAAAAAAAAAAAAAAAATTTGAAGAATAGTTGACACAATGCTTCATTAGTTTTAGGTGTGCAACGTAGTGATTCGACAATTCTATACATTACTCAGTGTTGACCGCGATAAGTGTAGTCGCCACCTGTCCCCATACAATGTTGCTACGGTGTTCTTAACGATATTCCCTTCTCCGTACTTTTCATCCCTGACTTTTCTATTTCGAAACTGGAAGTTTGTACCTCTTCGTCCTCTTCACCTATTTCGCCCAGCCCCCCACCCACCTAGCGTTTGTTCCTTTGCTTTCTAAACCACAATCCAAGTCCTCAGGGTGGAAGGTCTGATGATGTCAGCAGGCCGTCAGGTGGGGGTCACAATATGCATTGTAAGTCATTTGAAGTCAGGCAGTGGTGATCTCCGGGTAGAGAGCAGCCATTCTGAGTCTCACCGTGTGTGTGTGTGTGTGTGTGTGTGTGTGTGTGTGTGTGTGTGTGTTGAGCTGGGTGTCCCCATCTCTTGCCCTCCTTTGAGGTTCTGATTCAGCAGAGGCAAGAGAGGTGGAGCCTGGGATTGGGCAAAACTCCCCCAAGAGCTCACCCAACGTCCGGTTGAGAACTACCACTCCAGAAATGGTCTTCAAAGGCTTTCCCACAAGTATTTTGCAGTAGGAAGTTCTTTTGCTAAGGGACCAGTTTTGAAAGGCAAACCCACTGAGCCATGTATCATGGCATGTGTAGAGTTTTCTCCTTTTAGCTTCCTAAAACTGGACCATCTATTCTTCCAGTTTGTTTGAAATCACCTGGTTTCTGTTGGCCAGTGTCCTGTTTGTTGGCCTGTGGCATGGAACCAGTTGGAAGAGAAGTTGATGAGGTTGGTGGATTTGGGATTCTGCCATTGATTTTCCCCAGCGGCTTTCACTGTGTTGTCTCAGATTCCCCTGTTAGTCAAGGGAGAGAGACCCACCAGGGGAAAGGTTCCGTTTTAATAAAAGAAGAGTATTTTGGCAATAGTAAAAATAGAATAAGGGTACACCTCTTCCATCCAACATAGAGAAATGAGGGGTCCCACTGAAGTTAGTTTTTCATATTGACTGAACTCTTTTAGTCTCTGCACCTGAGAACAATTATCGTTTGATCGCCGTAGTTCTTAAAAGAATACGTTTTTGGTTTATGTTGGATAGTATTAGGCATAACCCGCTTCTTTTTTTAATTATTATTTTTTTAAATGTTTGTTTATTTTTGAGAGAGAGAGAGACAGAGCATGAGCAGGGGAGGAGCAGACACAGAGGGAGACAGAAGCAGGCTCCAGGCTGCTGTCAGCACAGAGCCCGACGTGGGGCTCGAACTCATAAAACACGAGCTCGTGACCTGAGCCGAAGTCGGTTGCTTCAGGGACTGAGCCACCCAGGCGCCCCAGGCATAATTTATTTCTTGATCCCGATAATTAATACAAAGATCTGTTTTCATGCTCTACTGTAGTATCTCCTGGAGTACAAGGTTAGGTAAGGCTGTCTGCCCCTGTACACACATACTGGCTTTTTGAAAAAACAGTTGATTCTTTTTTCTCTCGGTCAGGCTGCCCGCTGTCATTTTGCTGCTCCTGTGTGTGTGCTCGCCTCTAGCAACATTACCCCTTTAGCTTTTATTTGTGGATTGCATGGGGGCCTTACTTTCTGAGTAAAACGAGAGTAAGTTGGATTTGAACGAGGGGGTTGAGTGAATCTCCTAAGTCAGATGCACTTAAGACCGTAAAGGCCTCTGTTTAGTTTTCTTAGAGACTGTTTTTGGCTTGCTTCCTGGTCCTTGTCTGCATTTCAGTCCCCACCATGGATGGAGCTGTTACTCTGGGTACATGATAAGCTGACTTGGTGGTGTAGTCCCCGCACATGTTTGAGCCTCACAAGACCCACGCGGGAAGGCAAGCAGTCACTCGTGACTTTCACAGATGGGACAGTAAGGCCCAGTGCTGGCCCTGCAAGACAGAGCTCAAATCCAGACCAGACATAGGTCCTTGCTCTTTGCCTATTACTCCCCTCCCCACAAGCATGTAAATTGCCAACATGAGATGTTAGTAGGACCAGTTGATAATGAGACCTTTGAGCCACTTTGTGTTTCTTTTATTTATGAAGGAATCACACTGCTTTCTTTTGTAATGGGTTGGAGGAGGGGTAGGAGGGAGCACATTTGCAACTTCTCCCCTGCACACTGCCCCCCACTTCCTTAATGCTTTCCCAGAAGAACTTTCTCAATTTTATTTAGAGACGACTTGAAAGTTCTCTCCCTTCCCACTTCAGCTAAGACACTTGTGGACTTGGAACACCCACTAGCCCCCGTCTGGGATCAGAGAAGTTACCTTGGCCAGCCGGCTGTTCTAGGTAGCCAGGGGCTGGGTGTGGGCCAGGAAAGTCCACTTGGATATAGAGACAGCAAAGGGCAAGCCCTTGATGAGCAGCTTCCTTTTTGGGGCACTGGGTCCCAAGAGGCAGGACCTCAGTGTTGTTCACCCCTCCTGCAGTGTAGCTGTCTGGGATTGGTGGTGAGGACCCAGGACCCCAAGGCCAAGGGAAAGTGCCTGGAAGGCTCGGAGACCTGGGGCCTCCATGTTGGGTCTGAGCTTCTTTTTTTTTTTCAAGTTTATTTATTTATTTTGAGAGAGAGAATGAGTGAGCAGGGGAAGGGCAGAGAGAGAGAGAGAGAGAGAGAGAGAGAGGAGAGAGACTCCCAAGGAGGCTCATGCACACTCTTCAGAGGCTGGATGTGGAGAGCTCAAACCGAAGCTGTGAGATCATGACCTGAGCTGAGCCAGGTTGAGACCTCAGCAGCTGAGGCCAAGGTGGCCGGTTGTGTCTCTTGTGCAGGGTGTTAGGTGCTCTGTCTGAATCTTCTCCCCAGCCAGAGGTGGGCAGGCTATCCTATGCAGCCATCACATCTGTACCCCCTTGGGCATGTTCATACCAACTGGGGCCTGGGCTCAGCAGTGCGGGGTCCTTCTCTCTGGGGAGATGTTTGTCCAGGGCGGTTTGCCTCATGCTGCCTACAGTGGGGGACAGAGGGACTCGGATCAGAGCCCATCGGATGAGGGAGGAAGATGTTCCCGAGGGTCTCAACTGCCAGGCTAAGGGGGTCCCCTGGGCCCTCCTGCTCTCCTCAGGCTTGGCAGTGAGGCCGCGAGCTGTCTTGAGCCGCTTTCTGGCCGGCTGGCCCTGGGTGTGTGTGATCCCCAGTGTTGGCCGGTCACCCAGGCGTCCCAGGGCTGGGATTACTCTTCAAACTCTACTCAATTGTGGGCCTCGCTACAATGAGGAAACCGAGCAGGCAGAGAATAAAATGTGTGGGGGATGAAAAGCTGAACTGAACCGCTTTCAGCCCATTGTTCTTCTGGGGAAGCTTAGCGGGGATAAGAGGGTAGCAGGCCCCTTTGAAATTTCCTTGAACAAGTGAATAGGAGCGCCCCATAAAGCGTGAAAAGAGCCCTGGCTGTTTCTCCCTGTCCTGTGCAGCGAGCTCTGGCTCCAGGGGCTGTGGGGGGCTGTGAGGCGAGGGGTGGGGCAGCAGCCCATGGGAGCTGGGGAGGGGACCCGGCCGGGGAGGGGGAGAGGGGGTCACAGGCGGCCTTCAATAGACTCCAGAAGGTTGGAGTTCATTAGACACAAGCCCGAGAAGCAATGGTCTCATTTGCCACAGGACCAATTAAGTCCTGGGGGCCGTTGCAAAGAGGGCCGAGTAGAAGTTGGGCAGGGCCGGCCTGCACTTGGCTGTTCAGGGAACCGGGCGCCAGGGCCCACAGGTACAGAGCTGGCAGGGGCTCCAAAGAAATCATTGCCTTCTCCCACAGCCCACTGCTGACTTCTGTTTTCCTGCTAAGTAGAAAGCCCTGTTAAAGATGGCTGGGGATTGGGTCTTCATGGTCGGCCTCTGAGAAGGCTGTTTTATGAGCCTGTTACTCTGAAACCTGCATTCTCAGAAGAAATAGCTTGCTTGCTTGCTTGCTTTTCTTTTCTTTTCCTTTTCTTTTTCTTTTTTTTGGGGGGGAAGTTAGCTGCCAGACTGCCAGCGAAGTCCTAAAGCCCAGTCCTTGGAGTGTTGGGCACAGAGGATTGTGGGGACCGTTCTAGGGCATCAGGCCTGGGAAGATGCAGCCCGTGGGGGTGGGCAGAGGCGGAAAACATCACCAGCAGCAGGTTCTTTGCCGCCTAAGCGCAGCTTCTGTGTTAGAGGCTGCCCGGAAGCGTGGAAGCTTCGTCTGCAGCGTGAGAGCATCTGTCTTGGCTGTTTTCGCAGAGCAGCCCTCTCTAACAGTCGGGATCGGCTCGACATTAGCTTCCGCCCAGGGTGTCACCGAACCAGCGCAAGATGCTTCCCTCGCGTTTCATGCGGAGGGGTGGCTCAGGTTCTTTTCCTTATTTATTTTTATTTCCTTGTATCTTATTTATCGGTTTGCTTTGGACACCAGGGAAAGCATCTGAGTGAACTTCAAATATTATCTTATCTTACAAACCAGGCTTTTGATGTTGGCTGCCATCAGAGGCTGCCTTCTGAGTGGTTGCCAAATGGGAATGCGAGTGGACGCGTGTACGAGTGAGTCGTATATGGCGAAGCCTCGGGAGGACGACACTTGGGTTAGGCGGGGCACGGCGGAGTCAAAAGGCTAAGCTAATTGGCTCGGCTTAAATGGCAGCTAAGTGGAGCCCACACTTCAAAACCACTGCTCCCCAGAAACAGCTGGGCCCAGCAGCGGGCTCGTTAGCTAAAAGGCTCATAATCAAAGGAGATGGTATAGGGACCAAAACTCGGACACTCTTGAGCTCGCAGCGTTGAGCATCCAGGAAATGGATCGTAGACTTTTAGGGCCTGAGCCCAAAGAAGAGTGGCCCTCTTCTGGAATGAGCGGCTGTTTTGGAAGAGGACTCTTGGCTGGTGGGGAGGTAAAGCGCCATTTCCGTGAAGGCACCGGTTACGCCTCTGAGCCTCTACAAGTTGACGTCTCTTGTCTGCCCTGGTCACGAGTTTCCTGTCCCGCTGTTGGCATCTGCCCCGGGTGTGGTGGGGGCGTGCATTGGTTGGGAGGTGGGGGTGCTGGAATCATTTGTTCCTCTTGCCTTCGATTGGCCAGGGACCTGCTTCCCCCGCAGAGAAGCTCTACGTACTTCCTCCAGTTCTCTTCTTCCTTCTGTCCTGTATGGAAGGAGCAAAAGAGGTATAAAAGAGCCCACTAATTTGCATCTGTGTGGACAGGGGAAGAGCAGAGGCTACTGGCTGGCACCCGAGGACAGAGTCTCGGAGGAGGTGGATGGGGACCTCCTCCAGGACTCTTGAAGCCTTGCCTGTGTCACGGCAAAGTCTGGGGGGTGCTTGATTCCTTCCCCCCGACATTGTCAGGAAGGAGGCCTGGGGCAGAGGCCATCTATCCTTATTAAGTCCCCAGAGGAGTTGCTGGTCAGGAGAGAAAGGCAGGGACCTTGTCTTGCAGCCCTGGGGCAGTAGAAGTTGGTTATACCAATGTGAGATGCAATCTAGGGGACCCCCGTGGTCACGCCCACCCCACAAGGAACGTTAGGTAAGAGACAAGGGGATCTTCACTGTGCCTTGGGAACCACCTGGCATGCCCCGTAGCCAGTGAGTGCTAAGTGGTGGGGTAGGATGTTCCAGAATGTTCCCCACATCTTCCATTCGCCCCTTCAGAATGTCACGTGACTTCACAGGGCTTAACGAATGGGCCATCAGGAAGCTTGGCACCTCCAGGTGGGGCGGGAGGGTGGGTTGCTGAGTTAAGGACACCTGTTCTGGGGCCCAGCAGTGGCTCAGATTTGTACCCTGGGTCTAACTGCTACTGACTGACTCTAGGAGAGCTGCAGAGAGTCCCTGACCATCTTAAAACTTGGTGAATTTGGGATTTTGTGAGAATACAGTCGGATTAGACGTCACGTGTGTCTGACCTACAGTGGGAACCGGTACGTGGGGGCTGGCAGCCTCGAGTTAGAGTCAGACCCCTGGTGTAGAATCTGGTTACTGGCCAAGCCAGTAACAGCTGGTCAAGCTCAGCTCGTGAGCACCCAGTTTTCTCCCGTCTCGGAGGTGATCCCATGGTGAAAACATGGAGTTCCGGTGAATACATTCTAGGTGGTTCAGTAAGTTTCTGAACCTAGAACCTTTTATCCCGCCTGGCCTTCCAGGGCCCGGTCAAGTGAGTGAGAAGATGTCTGGGACTCTCAACCTGCGCTGGTCAACTGGCGTGCTATCTCTGGCCCTCTTGGCCTTTCTCTGGGACGGGGCTCACCCTGTGTGTATGTCCTTGCTTTAGATTAATCCTGTTTCTCCCCTTGTGTCCTCAGTATAAGGCTCCTTCACGTGCTAATTCCTAGCCAGAGTTGGGCTGACATACCTCATTGATGTATTGACCTACCGTGGTCGATCTGTATCATCCCCGCGGTGGCCCTGTGATCTGGCCTAGGTCAACAGACTTCTGGAAATTTCAGCCACTTGGAATTTTAGGGCATTACACATGAGGAGCTAGAGGTCAACCAGTTGCCCCCGTGTGCTCCCGGGTATTTTTAGGCATTGCTGACTTTCACCCACTGCTGATGAGCCCAGATGTTTTTCTTCCTTCCACCCTGTGATGAACAAAACACCGGGAAAGGGGAAATAACCAACTACCTAATCTCGATGTTTACAGCCTCCAAGTATGATTCAGTATGGGAATGTTGGAACCCTGGCGCTTTTGTAAATAAGTGGCCTCCAGAAGGGACAGCAATGGGAAAATAGTCACACCTTGAGCGTTTGACGACTTCCAAGCTCAAATTTCTTTTTAAAAGAAATCCTACTAGTGCCAAGTCATGTTTTAGTGCAGACTAGCCGGGGTGGAGGCTTTTCTTAAGTCCACTTGCTTTAAAAGATGAAGGACATAGGGGCTCATCCTGCCTTCAGGTCTTTGCTCAAAGGTCACCCTCACTGCGAGAACTCCATCGGAACTCCCCCTCACCCCCCACCGCATCCTTTCTTCCCATTTCCTGCCCTGTATTTTGTCCTAGTGCATACCACTTTCTCAGCTGCTGTAGACTTTGTTTTTGTATTTTTGCTTCTTGCCTGCCACCCATTAGACCTTAAGCCTTGTGAGGGCAATTGTCTGCATTTTTGTCCCCTTCCTTCGCTGCTGTCTCACCCAGTGCCTGGAACAAGGTCTGACACATAGTAGGTACTCAAACATTTGAACGAATTGCACAGAATGCCACATAGTAGGGGCTTTCTCTTTATGCCCACATTAATCGTGTGTCCTTGGCACTTCCTTAGTTTGGGGGTGGGAGGGTTTGGAGCTGAGGGAAGGAAGGAGCCCAAAGATACTCTTGTGGTGATTTTTTTTTTTTTAATTTTTTTAACATTTATTTATTTTTGAGACAGAGACAGACAGAGCATGAACGGGGGAGGGTCAGAGAGAGAGGGAGACACAGAATCCAAAACAGGCTCCAGGCTCTGAGCTGTCAGCACAGAGCCCGATGCAGGGCTTGAACTCACAGACCGCGAGATCATGACCTGAGCTGAAGTCGGATGCTTAACCGACTGAGCCACCCAGGCGCCCCTCTTGTGGTGATTTATAAAATGAAGAAATTTGGAAACAGTCGGGAGCTTGACTGTTGGAGAATTACACACACCTTCATTAATGCCTGGCTCAGTCTTGCTCAGTCTTCTGCGGGCGTGGTCCCTCTTCTTACAATATTTTGCCCTGGTGGGCTCCATAAGGCCCTGGTTTCCTGATTTGGGGCAGTACGACAGACGGTTGGGAGGACCAAAGGGGCCTTAGATTCTCCTGCTTGGGACACCTGTAAAATAAAACAGGGGAGCCTTTACTTTGGGCTGGCCGGAATGTAATCCGTTCGAAGGCAGAGCTTGAGAGATGAGCTTTACCAAGCTCTTTCCAAGTCAACGATCCTGAACCTGAGAGGGAGTTTGGCAGTTCGATCTGGGATTGATCTTTCAATCCAACCTTGGGAACAGCCATGGCGCCCAGGACGGTGGTACACTTGCATGGAGGTGGGTGGCTCTGACCTCCGGTGGGATCTCAGAATGGCTTGTGAATCAGCCCACATCCTGAAAGCATCCTCGTGAGCCTGTGGCTTCTGTCTTTTCCCTTCCCTTAGAGATGGAATCCCTCCTTATCGTGTGGGGAGTAAGAAACAGCTCCAGAGAGAAATGCATCGCAGTGTGAAGGCCAATGGCCAAGTGTCTCTACCTCATTTCCCGGTGAGTACAGTCTGGTGGGGAAGGCAGATGTTTTCAGCCGTGTTGAGTCTTGAAGAAAAGGGATGGAAGGTGGAAGGAGGGAGGTCTAGGGTAAGAGGAGGAGCAGGGTCTGGGGGGGGGTCCACTAGGGGAAGGGGAAGGGAGGAGCCAGGCAAGAGGTGTTACATGCTTCCTTGAGGTGTGATGCTGAGCAGAGTAGAGCTCAAGATGACCTGCTTGAACTTCTACGTTTTCTCAATTCAAAAAAGAAAATTCTCCATGAGAAAACCATACCAGTGCTTTTCCAGAAACCAAGAAATGGTAGGAGTTAGTCCATGCTTCTCATCGGGTTCCCACTAGAATGGAAGTCCCTTGAGGGCAGGGAGTTGTGTCTGTGATGTTGAAAGCTCTGTCCACAGAGACTAGAACAGCGCCTGGCACGTAACAGGTGTTGACTAAGATGTGTTGACTGAATCCGTGAATGAGGAGACTAGAGAAATCTCTGCCTCCTGCAGAAGGAAAATCCTGTCCCTGAGACATTCTCCTCGTGTTGACGGTACAGCTCGATCGTTTCGGTCCTCCATTCATCTATGTACTTGGCCATTTCTCCTGTTGACTTCCCAAGCCCTGGAGGGCAGCTGTTCTGTCCTGTCTGTTCCCAACCCCAGAACTTGGTTTAATACCTGCAGTTGGATCTGCACCTAATGAATGCAGAACGAGTGAAGTGTTTGGAAGCAAGGATCTCATAAACAGTTCCTCCCTGCGACTGATGTGAGAGGCCACCAAAGCGTGAAGATGCTTTCCTGGCCTCTCCCCCATCTGTTTCCACGTCATGGAGGGCAGCCAGCATGTGGCCCCCTGTACTCTGCAAAGCCTCAGAAGCCTCATGCAATCCGCTGAGACCCAGACTGCAAGAAAACTGCTCCCTGGGCAGGGGAAGAGAGTGCCCGCCTTTGAGCGGCATCTCTGTCTGTGAATCCTTTCTGCCGGCTTCCAAGAATTCAGTTGGTTCATCAGTTAGGTTGCATTCAGAAAATTAACACGTCACATTGCTAATCCCACATTGCATTAGTGCATGGGGTGTTAGTTGCTAGAGCAACTCCTCTCCAAAAGCCCTTCCCACGGGGCAGACTTTGTCCTAAAATTGGTCTGTTAGGATGCTTTTCTGGGGACCTTCAGCATCCCCCTCCCCTCCTCAGTAATATTACCCCCCAAACACAACAGTATTGATGATACAGATTTTTTCAGCTGGGCGTTGGGGGATGCAGGGGGCGAACGTGTGTTAATAAAGAAAAGTTCTGTGGCCCAAGCTTGTAAATTAGATGATTTGGTCCTGGGGTGCGCAAATCGACTTTCTCCACAAGGCAGCGCTTTGATCGGGGCTGCGCGGAGCCAGCCTGCATGAGAAGGGCCGGCTCCTACAGGGGGTGGGCGTGGGGGTTGGGGTTGGGGGGCCTTCTCTTTCCCCCACTCCGTTCTGCGGCTAAGTGGTCATGGTGGTGAGGCCTGCTCTCTGCAGGGAAAAGCCGGCTTTCGCAGGTTGGCTCTCCGATGCCCCCGCCTACCCTAAAGCAAAGGGCAGAGCAAGAGGGGAGTGAGGAAGAGGGAGGCAGACAAGCCAGGGGAGGGGGTGGCGGGAGGACAGGAGGACAGAGAGCCGGGCGGTGGGAGTTCTCTGTTTGCTGCTCTTGGCAGGCATCCTCGATGCCTTTTTATATTCTGCACTTGATTTGGAGATGTTCCCTTTTCCCTTGATAGATCAGCTTCAGGCAGCCAAGCTCAGCAGTGTTCTGCTACTAGCCCGCAGCATCTTTCTTCATTTTCTGTACAAAGAGACGGGGAGGAGGGGTGGAGAGAACCAGGGAGATCTAGGACACTGTTGAGACAACACCACCTCAAAGGTGCGCAGTGTGCGGCCAGGAAATAAATTACCACTTCTTCTGATCCGGCCGTGTGACTCCCTTTTTTTCCCCCTTTCTCCCTCCCC